GGCAGAGTTTCGCGAATGTGGTTGGTCGTCAAGACGCAAGTACTTGGTTATAAGGCTTCAGTGATCTAGTTCGCTTGCGGCAGTACTTTAATGTTTACCCTTGGTACCATTTTGAACCCCAGTTTCATCCTTAGTCTCCCATTTTTAACTCAAAATGTTCCCCATGAATGAGTCGAAGGAAAGAAAATTGGTTTCAGGTTGATCTCGCTGACGACCACTTTGAGGGAGTGTTCACTGCGCTTCTTCGTCTCACTGGATCGTCATTCAGATTGCATGCCAAAAATGGACAGCACACGTAGTAAAACAGGCGCGCCCTCGAATTTGCGAGCTCCATTTACATCACATGAAGCCTGTGGCTGATTCAGATGGACTGAAAATACTGATTTATCGTCAAGTAAATTACAGTTTAGGATTATCGAGAAGAAATCAATCTTTATTTTACTGTTAATGAATATTTTCCTCTTACCTACTGATGGCTAGTGCAGTACACGGCATGGTAACGACAATTTCTACCCGCTCTTTGATCAGATCAGGAAAATTTTACGACTTCTCATTACCACGGTAGACCACAGATGACTTGCGGAGGTACGCTAATGTTTATTGGAAGTACCACATTTTGACCACAGGTTTGTCCTCATCCTCTATGTTGGTAACTAAAGTTTTTCGATATGAATAAATCGATGGCATAAAAGCTACTTTCAAGTGAACCTCAATGACGGGAACTTTCCTGGAGTGTTCGGCTACATCTCTGTTGCACCGGATCGTCATTCATCTTGTGTAACACGAATGAATGACATGCACAGAAAAATAGATGTACGTAAATTTGAAATTTAGGAAACGCCACAACTCTTATCATTTAAATTTTGAGGGCAATGGAAATCTGTTGCAAGCATTGCAGGGTTGCTCACTAAATGGCGGATTAGGATTCCTGAGCTGAAAACGCACCTTCTCTTAGGAACAAGTTTTCTTCACTGGCGGCTGCTATTGTGATACACGATTGGATTTCAAATTACTGCCCGTTCTTCGACCAGCTTCGGAAGATGCTATAAGATACGAATACTGGATTATGCTGCACAGATGACTTAGTTCTCCTGGAGCATCACGTTAATGTTTATTGTAAACGTCACTGTGAAGCGCAGTTTTATCCTCAATCTTCCTGTCATTCAGAATTTTCCACATGAATAAATCGAAGATATGCGAGATAGCTTCAGCTTAACCTCCCTGTTTTGCACGAATGATCGTTAGGGTTGAGTAATGGGAATCGATGGGATGGACAATGAAGAAGCGCGTACGATTATGACAATTAGAAAGGCCCTCAGTCGCATTACACAAATTCTGAGGACTATTCAAATGATTTGGAAACATTGCAGGTTCATTCTGTCAACTACCTGTTATGCAGATTGAATAAGGCATCGATCGAGAACAAGGTCTATCCGTTACACCATGCTTAGGCCGTTTAAATCGTGATAGATCTTAAACTTATGCACATTCCTCCCACAACTAAACAGCAAAATCCACTTGGAGATAGCCTTTTTCTCTTGTGTCAGCCTTTGCTTATCCTTATAAGAATTTTTGCTTTGAACTATAATCTGGGTCTTAGCCTGCTGTGCGCAACTGTTCATTTTCCACCCAAATAAATCGAATAAATGAAGGGTCGTTTCTCGGCACATTCTCCATCGATCGCATTGTAAGAATGTCTGAGTCGTATCGCGTAGAGTTGTGTACTATGCACCAGGAGCGCTCATGACGAAAGAGAAACAAACTCAATATTCAACTTTGAAATACACCATCCTTCGTA